TCTGCCCAAGATTGCTTAACTATATTGCTTGTCCAATTTCTCTATAACTTCTGATCACTCCATGCCTTTGGTGAGGCAAAGATCAAAGGACAGGGTCAGAATATCCTTAGGAATTATTGTTATTAAGTGTAATAATGGTATCATGATTATGTTTTATAAAAGTTTTTTTTTTCTTTTAGACATACTAAACTATTAATGAGTGAAATAATGTGATATCTAGAATGTGCTTCAAAATAATATGGTGGGGTGCCTGGCTGGCTTAGTTGGTAGGGTGTCCAACTCTTGATCTCAGGATCATGAGTTCAGGCCCCAAACTGGGCACAGAGCTTGCTTCATAAAAATAATAATAATGGGCGCCTGGGTGGCTCAGTTGGTTAAGCGACTGCCTTCGGCTCAGGTCATGATCCTGGAGTCCCTGGATCGAGTCCCACATCGGGTTCCCTGCTCGGCAGGGAGTCTGCTTCTCCCTCTGACCCTCCCCCCTCTCACGTGTTCTCTCTCATTCTCTCTCTCTAATAAATAAATAAAATCTTTAAAAAAAATAATAATAATATGGAAAGGGAGATGAATGGGAGTATATATGAAATAAGGTTAGCCATGAGTTTATAATTGTCAAACCTGGTGATGGGCATATGAGGGTTCATTATATCATTCTGTCTACTTTTGTATACATTCGAAATTTTACATATTAAAAAGGTAAAATAATAACATAATTATTTTTTTAAAGATTCATTTTTCTGACAGAGAGTGCAGGTGGGAGGGGCAGAAGGAGAGGGAGAGAGAGTCTTTTCTTTTTTTAAGCAGACTCCTTGCTGAGCTTGGAGCCCCACGCATGGCTCCATCTCATGACCCTGAGATCGTGACCCTGAGATCATGACCTGAGCTGAAACCAAGAGTCTGACGCTTAACCAACTGAGCCACCCAGGCATCCCAATAACATAATTATTTTTTAAGTCCTTAAGATCAAAAGGCAGGGTCAAAATGTGTTTGGTTTTTGTCTTTATCTTTATTCACAGCTATAAAGATGAAATCCAGGGGTGCCTGTATGGCTTAGCCCATTGAGCGTCAGACTCTTGATTTCGGCTCAGGTTATGATCTCAGGGTTGTGAGATCGAGCCCAGCATTGGCTCCGTGCTGTGTGGAGCCTGCTTAAGATTCTCTTTCTCCCTCTGCCCCTCCCCTAACTCATGTTCTTGCATGCTCTCTCTCTCAAAAAAGAAAAATAAGTAAATGATAATTTAAAAAATGAAATCCAAATTCTCTACTATGTTCTCAAGGCCCTGTACTGATTCTTACTTGTTTTTCTGATCTTGTCTCCTACTTTTTTCCTTTGCTGGGCTATTCAGAGAATAAAATGTGAATGGTGTCCCCTGGACCAGTGTAGTCAAGAAGGCTCCTTTCTCACCATCATTTCATTCTATCTGCCAGGACCTTCTTTCATTTCCTGGGACACAGCAAGCATTTTCTTGTCTCAGGGTCTTTGCACATGTTCCTTAATCTGGAATCCCTTGGCTACTCCAGTCTTAGTTTAAATGTCATTCATTCCTCAGAAATGTTTTCTCTTATTACCCTCATTAGTGTAGTCTGTCATATTTTTTCACCTCGATACTGTTTATTGCCATCACAGCTTTGTCACCTTTTTTTCTGTGTCTTCTACCAGAATACAAACTCCATGACCTCATGGAGTTTACCATGACCTCCATGACATGTTTACCAAACCTCTGTGCCTCCTCTTGTTGTCCTTGTCTAACTGGAGAACTCAGGGATTCTATTTGTTCTGTTCATTGTGTCTGGTACATAGAAGGCACTCAATAGATATTTGTTGAATGAATGAATTAAAATTCTAGCCATTTTTTAAGGTCTGCTTTAAATCACCTCCTTCATAAAGCCTTCTTTGAGTCCTCTCAGTGAGAATCTTTTACTCTACTAGGTGTACACACAGACATGAAAGGGAAGAAAGCTTGTTTTACTTTCTTCATGGTCTATGGTGGTGACATCTAGAATGAATTTGATATGTCCTTTTGTATGTTAGCATTTTAGAAATTATTTTCTATACATATTTTAAAAGTTTTCAGATTACCAAGTGTAACTTCTAAACATTTTTTCTATGTCCAGGTTGAGAATTTCCCCTCTTTTAATAGTCTTTGTTTCTACGGCTTCCCAATGTTCATGACACATGAGGATGTCATGATGCTGAGATGAAGAATGACTAGTTTAGTTGGACTTGCCCTCACTGACATATCCATGCTTTGGAGAAATGCAGGTACACAAATTAATTAGCTAAAATCTCCTACAGTGAGTCTCTTGACATTTGGGTCATGGTTTTTTGATGGGACTTTGATTCACATAAATTGTATACCTGAATTTTCTCACCATTTGCTAATTGTTTTCTATCAAATATGAACACACAACAATGTGTCTTTTCCTATAAACGGAGGACAGTTTGATTCTCAAAGTTTTAACATTTATGCTCATTGTTATAACTGAAACTAATATAACACTGTATGTTAACTATTTTGGAATTAAAAAGTAATAATAAAAGCAATAATTTAAAAAAAGAAAAAAACATTTGTTCTCATTGTAAACAGATTTTAGAAGACATTTTGTCCTCTCCCCAGTAGTATTTCTGGAGTGCTTCTTCCAGTTAACTTATTTGCAGAATTGTTTAAACTAACACTAATTCTACTGCAGCAATTGAAACAAATGTTTCCATTTTGAAAATGTCTGCTGGAAAAATAAAGATCTGCAATTCAAATGAGTGGGGAGATTGTTAAATTGTGGTAAGTAAAATGGATGTTTATACTTAATCTTTTCTCAAGAAACATCATCCAAAATACTCATTATTAAATGTTTCCTGGATGGATGTAGTAGGTTCTATGTAAGTCCTTATGAATTATGATGGATGGCATAGATGTCCTAACTCTCCATTCTCAAAAGACAAGTGTTTATTAAGATGGATCTATCATTTTAGCAACTGAAAAGAAAGTGCACAGAACCGTAACACATCACTCCACATCAAGTTAAGCATATAACAGTTCTTTTTCTGTTTGGAAAAATTATAATCCAAGGAAAGTTTTTATACATTCCTCCCAAGGGAGTTTGTATTTTAAAGGAGTGCTACAGAAATAAAACCTGATCTCAGTTTAGTGTATAATTACATAAAAACAGATTTTAAAGATTCTAAATACATGAGTCTATGAGCTCAAGGTTTACAGCAGTCAGTACTACCTACTTGTCTTAAATCAGTGTTTATCAGTGTGATTCTGATTTCTTTCTGGGCAATTCTGTTAGCTTTTGGAACATTCATTTTAAAAATAACTGATTTACTCAGCTATTAAATACTAAGTAGTGTGATATCACACAATAATAAATATTTTAAAAAGGTAAAAATAAACCAAAGGTGGATTCTTAGAACAAGAGAGGTTAATTTATTTCATGTTTACTGACTGTTACCGGACACAGCACAGACCAAACCTCTGTGCCTCCTCTTGTTGTCCTTGTCTAACTGGAGAACTCCAAAGCTGTAAACCTGAAAAAGATCTTCCAGAGACCCTTTGACTTCCTTCCCTGCCTTCATGAAGAAAAACCCAAGCCCTCCAGACAACCAACCCTCACTCATGCTCTTCCTGAACACCTCCAGGGATAGAGACAACCTTCCTCTGGAAAAGTGAACTTGCTTTGGTATCAAGCAACAGAAATGGTTACATGAGTTACCTAGGATTCCCCATTAAGGACTATATATCACACATGCAGCATCACCTCCCCATTTCTCACAGAAGCTTTATAAGTTAGCTATTTCATTAGGTCTGTTTTATAGAGAAACCCAGGCCAGAGAGTAATTTAGCAAAGGTTGCACTTCTGGTAAATAGCTGATCCAGGATTCATACCCAAGTTATCTCTTTCATTAACCCAGTTGCTTCTCAAAGTCAGTGTATGCATTTACCTACACAGGGAATTAATAAAAGCAATAAACAAAAGCCTAAACCTATGTTTTAGAAAACGAGTTTCCTTGGAAAATATAAATTAAATAGATAATCATACTAGGTACCACTTATTAAGAAAATATTCCATATTGAAAGGTTCAGAACTTCAAATCTAGCCTATTTTTATTTTAAATTTTAGTTAACATACAGTGCAGGATAAATCTGGCCTATTTTAAATCAAATATCTCCGTGTGGAATAAATAGACTGCAAATCCCCAAGACTTGTTATCAGTATATAAACCTATAATTTAGCAAACACACACACGCGCGCGCGCACATACACGCAGGCGTGAGCACCTTCTGAGGATAAAGTTCCAGGTCTTTCTTTGGGTGTCAATTTTGAGACTTCAAGTGTCTCAAACGTGTGTGTGACTAAGGAAAAAAATAGCTGAATCATGTCTAAAAGCGAATCCTCCCAATTAAAAATCTATAATAAAAAATAAAACAATTGGGCTTTCCATCAGCCTTTTAACCTCAACAGCTCTTCTCTCCAAACCAACCCAACCTACTTCCCTCCTCTTTGCCCCCACCAAACTGGGAAATAAACCTTAAGGCCGGAGGTAGAAGGGGCCACAGCTTGGCCTGGGCTCCACATTATTCTGAAGCCTACCGGGGCCCGGAATCCACGGGTCCCAACGGGTCCCCGCTGTTGGCGGAGAGAAACGGGGAGAGCTCTGTTTGTGGGCAAAAGCAGGGCGGGGAGGTGAACACAGCCGGAGTTCACGAGGTGCCTGAACCATCACACGAGGGTCTAGGAAAAGGGAACCCAAGGTTACAGAGGCGAGCAGAACGCGAGGAGCACCTCCTGCGCAAACTCCTCCGCCCGCCACTCGGTACCGCCAAACCGCACCGCCAGCCCGCGGGCTAAGCGGAAGGCAGCGAGGCTCAGGGCCCGGCCCAGGCCGGCGCATGCGCCGCAGCCCTCTCCGCTCCCGGCCCCCCTCCCCTCTCTCATCCCGGCGGGTCTGGGGCGGCGGCGGTGGCGGCGGCGGCGGCGGCGCGGTGACGTCAGGGCGTTGGGGCAGCTCCTGTGACAGACGGAGCTGGAGCGGCGGGGCGGCGGCGGAGTCCGGCGGCTGAGATAGCGAGTGAGCGAGCGAACAAGCAGCGATCCCAGGGCCCAAGGAGCGAGAAAGAGAAGGAGGAGCGCTCGGGCGCGAGCGAGAAAAGCCGCGAGCGCCAGGCTTGGGCTCGAGCCCCGGAACGGCTGAGGAGCCCGCCCGCTCCCCTCCCCTCCCCCTCCCCGGGACCGGGCCCAGCGCGCCATCCTCCCCCTCCCTCCTTCCCTCCCTCCCTCCTTCCTCCCTTCCCTCTCCCTCTCCCCCTCCCCCGCCGGTGGATGGGAGTGAAGGACGGAAGAGGCCCTGCGGAGGCGGCGGTGCAGCGCTCCGGTAAGGCGGCGAGGGGGTCTGTGCCCTCCCCTCTGTCTTCTCTACGGCGCTCGGGCGGCTGCGGGCCGGGCCGGGCGGCCTGACGAGGTGGCTGCGCCGGTCCCCTCCCTCCCATTCTCCCCTCCCCCTGCCGCCGCCGCCTCCTCCTTCTTCTTCTCTCCTCGCTCTCAAAATGGCGGCCGCGACGGCCGTTGAGTGAGAGACACGGGAGGAGGGGGGACAGGCCGGGGAGGGCGCTGCCCTCGCTCCCCTCCTCCCCGACCCGGGTTCGGGGGGTGCCGGAGCCGCCGCGACTCCACCCGCGGCCCTCCCCGGGAAGAGATCGCCCTCCTCCCTCAGTGACTTAGCAAGAAAAGTATTCTTGGGTAGGAAGGGCGTGGAGAGCAGGTCGCTCTCTGATCTTGGGGAAAGGGTTTGGCCCTCTTCTCCCTGGCCGCGGAAGGCGAGGTCCGCAGTCCCCACCCCACCCGTGGTTGGCGGCTCGGGGACTATGCTCGGCTCCGCGCGGCCTGGGCACCCATAGGCCTTCAGGCGTTCCGTCCCCCACCTGTCCTTAGGATGGGGTTGACCTGAGGAGGATGGCCCACCCCTTCCCTCGTCCCTCTGTGCGGCGGTCCAGCCTCTACACCCGCTAAAGAGCGGTCCGACCCTCCGAACCATCCGCCGCATCCACCCACCGAATCAGGCAGGTTTTTCTTTTCTACCCCTGGCTCCTGAGACGGGAGTTGCCTTTTGACGTTGTAACACAGCTTCGAGGCCCTCAGCCATTCCCCTTCATCTAATCTCCCCACTCCTTTAGGAAACGCAGTGCCGCCTTTAGTCTCCCAGGTGAGAAAATAGAAAATGTCTTTGAGGTGGTGGGCAAATTTTAACTCTCTCAGCAGTAGAGAAGAGGAGTAGGTTTTCAATATTTTAGATAAGAGAGAGCAAGGTGCCTTGGCTTTATTTGTTTTTCCACCTTTCTTCAGTGACTTAGCAAGAAACTCCCTGGGAGGAGGGCAGGAAATTTTCTTTTGGGGTTGGCGTTTGGGTTCAAATTACATCAGTCCTTTGGTTAAGAATTTGTGCTTTTGAAGAGAAGAACCAGATTTGTGGTTTCATTCTCAATGGGCGATGTCATGCCAAGGTCCCCCCCCCCTTTCCTTAAGAGGCATTCGGTAGAGAATAAAGATATTACTGTTATCCCGACCTCTACTTTAACACATAGTCCTCAAGATTCATAACGCTTTAAAGGCTAAACAAAAAATTTATGCCATTTTTGGTAATTCTATTTTTGTTGGGAGGTGGGTTGTTTTGTGTGAATTTCATTTTGAGTCTAGGGCGGAGGGGAGAGCTTGGGCCTTTCATACCAGTAATGTCATCCCTCCTCCTTTGCCACAGTAGTATTTGCTTAAAATTTTTTTTGTGTGTGTGTGTTTTTTTTCTGCAGCAGGGCTTGATTACTGCAGGGTTCAGTCTTTTAATCAGGAAAATTTCCTGCCTGAGTATGTCGGCAGTGATAAAATGTTGGATAAAAAGCTTTTACTTAAAAAATTCTGATTTGCTTCTAAGACATCAGCTAGCTTTTAATATCTCATGGGTATCTTTCAAGACACAGTTTTCCAAAATAACTGGCAATTGCAAGTTGCAGTTTTTATTAAAGCATAAGTGTAATCTGTATTTAGGGTGATTTATTCTTTCATGTTCTATTATAAATGATCATTGTTTGGATTGTTCAGAAGGGGAGGATCTCTTAAAACAAATTCGAAGCTGTTATTTTTTTTATAAATCAGAGAAAGGAACCCAATTTTCACCAGATATTCCTGTATATATTGATTTTGTTAGAGATAACCCTATTTTGGTACCCATCCCCTCCCCTTTTAAAAATGGGCTAATATTTGTGGATGCTGTGAACAGCCATTGAGCTGAGGAGACTGGGTGGAGTAAGAGAGCAGAAGCTGTGAAATGCTAGATTGCCCTTTCATAGCATTTTTCTTTTGCTTATGTTTTGTAAGGTTATTGGATACTAATTGGTGCTACAACAAAGGTATTTCTCTGTAGTAAATTTTAAAATCTGATGTTTTTAGTTTCCAACATTTTTGCAATTGGGGTAAAAAGCAATGTCCCTGCTCTAAAGCAGACACTTATTGTCTCTCTGTATTTGTGTATACATACACACACACACATATATACAACCCGTGTTAATGTTTTTTTTTTATTGTTTTAGTCAAGTAAATGTAAGTTAATGAATGCCAAAAATATTGGGCAAGAAATAGTAATAGAAAATATGGCAAAAATCTAAGAATACTATAGATGTTTTCTTTTACTGTAGTTTGCATTGGAACAGTAAATCTGATTTTTTAATAATATCAAAGATGAGTAAAAAAGGATAAGATAATTTGTGTTAAAGGCTATTTATAAAGGTTTTCTTCTTGTGTTGTCCCTTGAAAGGGACCTTTTGTAAGGTACTACCACAAGAGAGGGTAGGTCACTTTAATGTCTTCCATCAAGCATTCATGTGAATAGACATCTTCAAAAGAATGTCAGATTCATATGATAAATGTGATTTTGATGAGGCTTAAGACTGTTTGTCAGTGTATGATATATTTTCACACTTTTGTTATTTTTAATGTGATTAGAAGGTAGAAGGGTTCATATGGTGAGGAATGAGTAAGGTAGAGAATGATAATTCACTGTTATGTGACATATTCCCATCCTAGTATTTGAAGGTATAGAAGTGCACTAAGAGTGGTGATTTTTCAGTAGACTATTCATTGATCAGGAGCTTAAAATAATTTGACTTATGAGAGCTTTAGTTCCAAATATGTATCTGTGGATGTTTCTGATACACGTGACAGGATCTTTTGCTTAATTTGGAGATCAGTTTTTAAAATTCTTCATAATCCTATATTTATAAAACTTTTAATGAGATTGGGATAGATTTCATTTTTTTAGTAGAATTATTTGGTATGTATTTTTCCAGTTAAAATAACTTTAGAATATTAGAAATTTGGAGATGTTTCTGGAAGGGAAAAATCAGTATCATAATTTTTCTTTTTCTAAGCTAGAACATCCATGTTTCATTGTCTCTATTTTTTCAATGTAAATGTTTCCCTTTTGTGTACTAAATAATATGTATGTCAATACATACTACACATACACACACATATACGTGCATGTATACACCTTGTGGCTCATATTTTAGGTATTCAAGAAAAAATAGGACCTTACTTTTTGTTTACATGTGGCTCACCTTACTTACAACTTGTCATCTTAATAAACAAGCCGTAGAAACTATGGAAGTTGACAACAGTATGGAGGTGTCTTTAAAAAACAGACTCAAAGCAAAATCTTCGGGCAATCAGAATGAATTTTCCAATTCTTTCCCTTGAGTTCTACAATAGTGAGTCACATACTCTTTTGCCAAAGGGACTTAAGGCTCAGTTGGTTTTAAACTGAGCTGGCCAATGTCTGCTGTGGTCCTAGAAGAGATTTTTTTATTCATGTCTAAGTCTCTATTTTGAAAATATTTCATTATGACAGGTAACCTGTTTTCATGTATGTTGGAAAGAGAAATAGTTAAATGTGAAGTGGAAATTCTTTGTCACTGTTCTTAAGTCTTCTACAATAGGACTGTAATTGTTTTTACTTAAAATGTTGCTCTATTTAAAATAAAACTAATGGTATGCAATGAGTTCTGAAAAGATAAAGGAAAAAAAAAGATGAAAACCTGTTCTCCTGAAGTTGTTTAGCTGTAGAGTGAATCTTAGTTGTAAAGGCCAAGTGTTTTGAGAAATCTGTATTCATGAAGAAAAATGTTATAATATATGAGCCTAATAATGAACTGCAGTTAAGGCTTTTTGGATTGTTTTAGCTTTGTTGCTGGTTTGGCATGACATTTTCAGGTAGTTATTTAAATAGAACCTTGGTTTATGTGTCTAAACTCCTATGTGTATAATTTTTAACCTTGCCATGGCAGTTAGATATAACTGATATTTGTGAAATGCTTTATACTCGTGGATGCAGGCATCATAAGTGCTTATTATTTTGATTTATTGTTTTCTCTTTAAAAGATGGTGGCTTTTGGTTGAAATGTCCCTAGGTAGGATTGATCTGTGCATTAAGGATATTTCTGGAAAGGTATCCTCTAAAGTTACTGTCATTTAACATTGTCATAAACATTTCTCTGGAACTTTGTAAATATATTGAATGTGGTACTCATTTTCATTTGTTCTGCTACTTTTGGAGGCAGATTTGTGTTTTTATGGGTGAGAAAACTAAAATTTAGAGAATGTCTTTCCCTAAGGTCACATGTTGGGGTAGCAGCTAGATTGAGGTAAATATAGGAATTTAACCACTTGGGTATTGCCTTGCATGATTTCTTATTCTTTTGACAAAATGGACCCTTTTTATGACTATTCTTGTGTTTGTGAATTTCTTCCTTTTCTAAAATGGTGAAAGTCCATTAGCATTTATTGTCTGCATCATTTAAATTGGCATTTATTAACATACAGTCTTGTATTGTTAACTATTTTGCTTACATAAGGCCTTAGGCATCTGAGTAGGGACTCCCAGAGAGTGCCTGATACTGCTTTACAGTAGTATTAATAAGTAAATAAATACTTGTTGCATACATGCTGGTAGTATTAATAAGCAAGTGTTAATAAATTAATGTTAAGTATTAAATTAATATTTAAGTAAATATACATAAGTTGTATTAATAAGTAAATAAATATTTGTTGTAATAGATTGAATGCAGGGTTATGTGAAAGGAAATGTGCTAAGCTATAGTTCTTTGTAATAGCTGACTTCCAGTGATCTTTCAGGAATTGAGGTGAAGGAGGGAGAAGTGTTCATACTTCCTTTAAAGGGATTTTATGTTGTTCCAGGGAACAGGGTCACACTCCCGACATACCTATCAGGGCCACAAAATTCTCATCCATAAGAAGTGAATTAACCCACCTGGACGCATTACATTTGCATCTTGTAATTATTTGTTTTTTGCATTTTTATTATGTGTT